TGGGTTGCAGCCTGCAACCCACCCTTCGAAAGACATGCCAATGGAAAGAGAAACACAGGCAAATCCTGGAATAGCCCTCTTGCTTGTGCTAGCATGTTTGAAATCATCCTTTCTGCCGGTTTTCTCTGCAGATCAACATAATTTACACACATTTGCCCCTTTGCTTCCGAGTTGTTTGCCTTGTTAGTTACTTGTTAGAGTGACTGAATAGAATGTAGGCTACGGTGCAGTAGACATCACTTTATTCAGTAACTGCAACAAGCCTGCATCATGGTAGAGGTCCCAGAAGAAAAGATCTAATCTTAGACGTTGCTGTATTTTCCTTTTCCATTTCAGACAATCATCCGTAAAGGCTTAAATAATGGCAGCCATCGCTTGCCAGGCTTCCATTTTGGGCCCAGCCCTTATATCATCAGCATTGGTGGAGACGCTCTAGCGTCTTACTGTACCGTTGGGTACTGTATTTCATCACTGCGTTACAATTGAGATTGGTTCAAATCATGCCACAAGACGTTGAACAGCCGGCTGATGTCTCCCGCTGATGTCAGCGTCAATCCCTTGCGGCTTTGAGATCGTGTGGCAGCTGACAGACTTTTCCTTACACTGCGATCTAAAGAAAAAGACCTTTTCAGACTGTAATTACCGTCAATCTACGGTCGTTTCTGCAGTCAACAAGCGCCACTACCCTTCGAAGGGTATTACCCTTACCGTAACACCACGCCAAGTGGAACCAGACCACTATCCACGCCGCGAATATTCCCTAAATTCTTTTTTTTCCGAGCTGTCCGCAAATGACGTTGCCATGACGATTGGCCCATTCGAGATCCAAACGCCTCAATGACGTCACTTCCTACACGTGTCGCATGGAATGCAGCCCCATCTTGAATTCAACACACCCGCGATCCAGCCCCACGAGTGCCCCACACTTCTCCGTCGCTAAATTACACCGGTACCGTTCGAAGGGTAGATGCCCTTTGTGGAGGAAGGTCGCATCCCCCCAGGTCTTTGACCCACGGCCTTGAGACTGATCTTCGACGCCTCTTGGCACAGCAGCACACGACAGTCCCGGAAACAACGTTGCCCGTCTTGCGCCTAGAAAGCGCCCAATACAAAACCCCGGCGCGCCAAAACCCGCTTTGTTGCACCAGCAGAAACGCTGGTGCTCAGACATGGTTTGCGGTTGAGACAAAGTCTCTTGCAACGCCTGTCGGTCGCGCTATGCTGCCGGGACGCGAAACAACTGCCTACAGTCTCTTCCCAACTACCTGCAGCGTATAGCCACTACACGCGCGAATCCTCCAAAAGCCCGCAAGTTGCGACAAGCGCCGCGCCTGCAGGAGCGAGCGCGGCTCATCGGCGGCGCTCTGTGCTCGTGAATGTTTCCGTGCAATCCGTAGCGCGACGATGCCCCTGGTACCTCTCATCCCTCGCGCGGACCTTCGCGGTCCTCCATTTGCGTAACAGGGCTGGTGGCTGTTTCAAGCTCACGGTCACAGCTCTCCAGTTCGAATCCCTGTCCAAGTAGTACCCAAGGGTACTGTATCAGTTAAGGCGTGCTATTTAGGCGGGCCGTTCATTCACGCGCTCGAAGGACACAGGCTGGCGCACCATTGGAGAAAAAAACTCGTGTCACGCATCGTCACCATTTCTCTCCCCAAACAGGCCTTCAGTTGGATGTGCACCACAACCAACTTCCTCTCGTACAGCATTGTTTTGATCTACGCCTGAAGAAGAAAAGGTTACTAAAATATGCCCCGGAAGAAATTAGAACGCACCCGAGCCGTTTCTACTGCAGTACAGGCGCACCACATGCCCCGATCGCAATCATCGCCCATTGCTACAATAGCCTTGGCAGTCATGTCAGACACCTGTCTACCAGCGATTGCGCTCGACAGTCCACACATGGCAGTAACCTGCCAAACAGCACGTACAGTGCCAACAACCTGTGCCGCTAGCAATACCCTTGGTAGACGCTAGTAGGCATGCGCTGTGGTAAGACAACATTGAATTTCGCATCCATTTGTAGGACGAGCTCACGCCGTATCAACCCTCAGATGAAATACAGGAATAAGCACAACTTGGTCTGGGGAGTATGCTGGCAATGGCCTGATTTGTGGTGCATTCCCCGACTCAAATTTACAGAAATGAGGAGAATTGTGTGTACAGCTTGTCAAGGCATCCCTAAAAGCTGAGAGTGAGATGTAGTCAGCGGCGCACCTCGACGAAATTGACGAAAGCGCAACTATTACCAAGGCTGAAAGGCACAAGTCAAATTAATCTGATTATATACAAGTGAAAGTGAAGTGAAGAAACGAGAGATGTGTGCCATCCGCCTGCCTGGGGGGTTACACCAATGGAGCTAGAGATATCACACTAGTCGCTGGTCAGCCACAACGACCAGCACGCTTAACGCAAGTTTTACGCAGAAACCACAGGCGGTTTTGCCAACGACAGATGGCAAGAATGTGTAGAGCCTTGCCCTTGACCAGATGCGAGCCTTTCTATGCATGGTGGCAACCGGACTTAACATAAACCGCAGTTGAGCTGTACCTTCTAGAGACAATATTGCTGCAGTAATACTGATATGAGATGAAAGCATCGCTAGACAAAGATTGAAGTTCGGGACTGCGCAGATAAATAGGTGGGAAAGTGGTCGAGAAGTTGTCAAGTGTTCACCACTTCTGCTTTGAGCCCCTTGATGCGTTCCTCCTTCACCTTGGGGCGCGCGCCATGCTCTGATTGTGGTTGTTCTACTTTGACTCTTTTCCGTGATTGAGTCTCTGCCCGCAAGCTTTCCAGTTCGGTCTTGTAGTTGTCGCGCTCCGTGCGGATATAGTTTTTGTCTTGTCGCAATTCGTTCTTTTCCTCCCGCAAACTCTTAGCCTCTACCGTAAGATCCTTATTCTGCTTTTCCAAAGCGAGAATTCTGGCGGCTTGCCTCTTGACTTGCTCAACGGCCTCGACCAGAACGCTTTCCTTGTCCGTCTTTCCGCCCGCCGAGATTTCCAAACAGGCTGCGAGCTCGGCAAAGCGTGTATTCATGGTCTCTCTTCTACGCTTCTCGCGTTCCCTCTTCCGTTCCGGTCTAGTCTGCTCCTCGGGTGGAGCAGTGGTACTCTCCGAAGCCGGCTTGCTGCGTGGCTTGCCAGCACGGGGGTGGTCCCAGAATTGGGTATTGGGATGTGCGGAAGTCGGTGCAGTGGTGGAGGGAGGAGCTGTGGCAGAGGGGTGAGGCGCAGGCTCTGTCGGGGGTCGGGGACGCTTTGCGGGAGGCGAGGAGAAAGAGTGCCTGGCTGCCTCAGGTTGGGAACCTCCGTCGCTGCTTGAGAGGGGGACGGCAGTGGCGGCCGAAGGCGGGGCGCTCGATGGTTGGGCTGGAGGCGGTGGTTGGGCCGGAAGGACAAACGGGGGGATGGAGCGGTTTTGGTCGAGCTTTGCAGATACGGAGGGAGCGAAGGCGGCAGTAGGATGGCGAGGTTGCGGGGTGGCGTATGTGGCGTAGGGAGGAGCAGCTTGGTCATGTTGTTGTGCCGAGATTAATGTAGTTGCTAGCGAGGCGGTGGATGGAGCAGAGGCGGTGGGGGGAAGTGAAGCGGAGGTTGGAATGTGTTGGGACATGACGGGCGGCGGTGTTGCGAAGCGTTGGAGATGTACAGAGTGCGGTGGTTGAGCGGGGTGCGGGGGGGCCGGAGAGTAGTTGAGAGCCTGGCGGGTGGCGGAGGACGGGGAGGCGTTGAGATGGGAGAAGGGGCTAGGGAAGGCGGTGAATGGGACGGGGTTGGGGGCGAAGGGGGATGGGTGGGTGTGCTGTGCAGTGGGGCTGGACGGGGGCGGGTGCAGGGGGTCGGTGGAGAGGGCGGAGGGTGGATGCAGGGCGGCGATGCCGTTGTTGAGCGAGCCCATGGAGACGTCGGCGGGCATCGGGCGCAGGACTGACAGGTTGCGACCGACGGGGCCGGCGGAGGAGGAGAGAGCGGCAGAGAAGTTGGGCAGGGAGAGGGGGTTGAGCGCTGGGCGCGGGCGTAGTGAAG